CTGATTCCCTTTGGTGGTGGGAAGCTCGTCGAAAAGGGTGAACCGGCGAGACGTGGCGAAAGGGGTGACATGACGTCACGTTTAACTTTAACCGGCGTTATTTTTACCCTTTGTGTGAGCGCACATCCATGGTTGAAAAAGTGATGACGTAAAACGGAAAATTCCGATCCAGGTTGCTGGACTCCTCGCATTGGAAATTGATCATGTATTATATTTGTCGATATTTTGCTTTCTTTTTTTTTTTTTTTTTCTTTTTTTGATATTGATATTGAATCGATAGAAGAGTAATACAGGGTTTAAAATAAGAATAATAATATCCGAAAAGCTGTATTTTTAAACTAAGCTCCTCCTTTTGACTCGCAAATTGTGATATTATAATAATTTAATCGAAAGAATAACATTTTGTTAACGAAAGTTAGAAAAATTTTAATTAGGAAGAAAAATAATTATATTATTGATAATAGGAAGATAACTATAGATAGATATAATTTATTTACCAAGTAGAATTCGGATATCGAAGCAAAAGGAGCGATAATACAAAGTTGAGATATTACAAAGGAAAGAGATTCGAGCGAGGAACGATTTAATATCCTCCGCGGAGCAAAAGGATTTTACGGCGGTAATATATTGAGTGGAAAACATTTCAACAAAATTGTGTAGTGAAGTACGAGAGCGTTCGAGTGAAGGGAATTTAATCAAGTGCGCTTTTAATAGCAAATTCAGAGTTATGTTCAATGAACTCTCTATGTTCGGAAGGTATTATTGTTCCTTTGAGGTTCCATCACAAATATATACATATATCTAAAATTAAAATATTTAAAAATTGATAAAAATTGATTAAGGAAAAAATAATTCAAACGAAATATTTTCACAAATGAATACATCTTTTCTTTCTCTACGAATTTCGTTACGATATTTTATATTTTATAGATCAAAAGAATTTCTCTTTCCTTAATATTTATTGATACTTTTTTCCTCTTTCAAATTTTTCTTCATCCATAGGACAACAATCTCATTCCTTTAAATTATCACATCTCTCATTATTATTATTATATTACCCATAGCAAGAAATGTATATATTTGTTCGTAGAAAATTATCCAAACTATTCAATTTCCATTGCGAACAATAATAATAAAAATCGAGAGCTAATTTCAGATAAGACACTTTATATCTTATCTCTCTCTCTTTGTCTTTTCTCTTAGAAAATTTGCCGAGATTTCGTCGTTCCTCTGTCAAATACGGGCGTAATAGGATGTGCTTGTCTGGACTAATGGGCCGTGAACGCATACACAATCTCATGGGAGGGTGGGCGAGTGCCCGAAGGGATCGAGACGGGGGGATGGTCGACAAAGGAGATCGAAGGAAAACTTGGGTCTGACGACGACGCACAGGTGGAATTAATCGGTCCTTCGAATCGATCCGGCAAATTCTATTTCTCCGCCGGCTGTCGATGTTATCGTTAACGCGGAAATATTGTGCAGTCAGCTTTCGTGCTCGAGCTGAAACGATTCTGTTACACGCGACACCACGCCGCGTCCCTGGATATCTTTTGAACGATGTTCCAGCCCAGGAAAGGGCGACTTCGGTCGATACGTGATTCTCAACTGGAGGGACGATTCAATGGATCGTGGAAGAATTCAAAGATTTTTTTTTCTACGTCGAATATTGTTTTGGAAAGTGATATTTATACTATGGAATCTCGTAGATGGAGTATTTATGTTTTTGTATATTTCTACAAGAAAAAGCGAGAAATTTGTGTTGTATAAATCCACGGATATCTTTCCAGATTCCAGAGAAACTTAAAACGCAAAAATCTCGAAATTCGTAAAGAGAAAATTATTAGAATTTCTTTAAAAAAAAATCTTCCAACGATTATTTAAATTTATCCCTAGAAAAAAAAAGAAATTATAAATAAAAATTGCATTACTTCGAGAGAATATATTTAGAGATAATTGCAAGGAAAAAAGGATTAAACGATGGTAGAAACGATCTCGTTTCCAGTAACAGAAGTAACAAAACACAGGAAGAACGATGTCTCGGATCGGCTGATCGCGGGAAATGCGATTGCTTTCGTGGCATTTCCGGGATTCGATGAAAGACAATTTTTCTACCGGATTGGGGAGGAGGTTGGAGTTGGGGAAGGTTGAAGGGTGGTCTAATCTCGAACACAAACCGTAACAAGTCGCCGAGGGAGTTCGCGTCAATTTTACCTTTTTCATCCTCGAACTGGCAAAATAGAAAGATAATCCCACGGGTCTGGTCTTGTCTGGTGGAAGGAGAGGGAGAATCGGCGCGGAGAACGTGATTTTTCAACGGGGAAGGAAGAAGGAAATATCTCGAAATCCTGTTACATTTTAATCCAACGCGTTTCGTTCGGTGGATTATTAGTTACGATCTACGGAATTTGACGAAAGAAATCTAACACGTGGTCTTTTCGAATCTAGAAATTAAAGTTTCAGCAGCAGCTAGAATTTTTTTTTTTATCATTTTGAACAACAATTGCAATTTTAAAAATATATACAGAATGATATATCTCAATGTTCGTTTCTTAGTTAAAAATTCGATGAATGTTTAATGTTTCTTTTTTCTTTTCTTTTTTTCTTGAATATACTTTTTGGAGTTTAGTCGATAGCCCGTTGGAAGGTCTATCTACTTCAATATTTCATTTCAGACCATGGCCGTTTCACGGAAAGAAAGAAGCCGGGAGATGCTGACTAAGACCTCTCCCTACGTACTCTATCTAATCTCCTTTAGTCGAGCCATCAACCCTCTGTTCATCATCCTCTTCCTCCACCGTTCACGAACAATGAATCCGAGTATTTAACCGACGAAGAAAGTGCTACAACGTTCGATAACCGCGCGAAATCTTCATCGATCGCCTCCACGATCCAGTTAATTGTCCTTTTCCAAAGTAAGATATTTTTATTTTAATAAGCACGTTTCGTGTGCTAGAAAACTCCCTCCCCCCTTTGATTAATATTATCCAATAATTCACAATGGTCCTTTTCTTTTTGTAATTTATATAAAAATATATCTCTCTCGTAAGAGATGATATAATACTTTATTTTTAAATCAAGATGGCTGGTTAATGGAAATTAGAATAGAAAATCTTCAATCTTTATTAGCGTCAACGATAACAGATCGCTCGTGTCATTTCTGTCTTATTATATTCTAACCACTGAAAATTTTCATTGCAGAAGAATTCCTAAAAATTTCCTTTACGCGACAAGACAAAAACCATTTTGCAATCCCTTTTGAAGATATCGTCGTTCGTAATAATTTCGAAATTCATGCAAAATATCCATATATCATAATTTAAATCTTGAAAAAAAAAATAACAATTTGATCGTTCGAAACCGACGTCCCTCTAAGGAAGAATTTTAATAATTTCATTCGAATCGGGGAAAATCGTGATGGCGGGCGGAGGAAACGCGAGGGATCAGGGGATCCGCGCAGTCTGATTCTGGCGTTTCGAATGGAAGGAAAGCAACCGGTTGAAATATAAAGTGCTTACACGCGGGCTTTGCTTGCATAATGGCTCGTTTGCGCGAGAAATGGCAGCAATTTCGAGGGGAATTGCGGGCCAGGATAATCTGGAAATAAAATCTTGCGAATTCTGGGGCTGGTTGAAAAGTGGAAAAAAGAGGAGGAGGAAGAGGAGGAAGGGAAGGGAAACACGTGGCGGAGATCGGGATAGAGCATCGCTATCGTCGAACGATTAAACGGTGGATCGTCGCGGGTTCGTGTTCGTGTTCGTGGTTGAAGAACAAAACCACGACATCGTCAGTGGTTTCGCGAGAAAGCATGACGAGTACAAGCATGTAATTCGCGGCACGACTCGTCAAGGGAATTTCATTTCGCGACCGTATCATAAATTCTTCCTTTTATCCGAGTGTCGGATTCTCCCCCTTTGAAGAATTATTTCGACTCGCGAATCATCAATCTCTTTTTTTATATATAAATATAAAAATAAAGAGAGAAAGTCCCGGAAATCCAGATAGTTTTAGAGGAAGAGTAAGTATTAAAAGATGTTCTCTTTTAAATTCGAGAAAAATAATCGAGATTTTTTACGTTAAATTATTGAGAAAAATCTAAGGCGAATTTTTAAATGTCTCTGTCTATATTCATTTATTTTAATTATCCAAAATATTCGATATGGAGATTTATCTTTATCTTATGGTAATTTTAATAAATT